GTGGCACTTACTTCCAAGTTCAAGTAGATCGGACAAAGTTCAGGTAGATCGGACAAGGTCCAACCACAACTGCAGCTCCCTTCCCCTCTGCCCGGCCACATATGGAGCGAGGATGAGTGGGTGTTTGCACAGGGCAAAACCGAGACTGGAGGAGTAGAAAAGCCTGACGATAGGTTGGCCACACCAAACGCGAACGCGCTGAGGGATGCTTTGTGACACTCCAAGGGCCTCGGATCCCTCCAGCGCACGATGGAAGTAACTGTACCAACGCGTTAGGCCGCCTGCTTTTAAAGAGAAGCACTGACAGGTAAAAGGAAATCAGCAAACGGGGACTCAAAAGGAGAATATATTCTGCTCCCCCTCCAGAAACAGCCTTGGTGTATATTCCCACTCCCCCTTGATCACGGGAGGACCTCCACTGAGCCCTGATTGGCTGGCTATATTGATTGATGGCACGCGCTTGAGGTTGCACTTATAAAAATCCTCGCGTGCCGCCCTTCAGTCTGCAGCCTCAGTCGGTGAGCGCAAATACGTAGAAAGTGACTGTCGCGGCGCAGCAGGAGCCAAAGGCGTGGTTGGGGAGCGAAAAACAAGGCAAAGACAAGTGGCCTCCCCTCACGCCTTTTCCGAGCCACTTTCCTGCGGATCCCGGATGGAGTCGGTACTACTGGAGCACTTTCGGGCCGGGCCGGACTTCTTTTCGTCAGAATCTTACTTCGACGACGAGGAATTTCTCACCAACCAGTCTTCCTGTAACCCACTGGAAGGCGACGAACTCCTGGAGGCAGAGGTGGCCTTACTGGGCCCGCCGTTCCACGAGTGTTACCACAGCGAAGGAACTGGTGGCGGCGCGGGATTCGAAGGCGTGCCCGACAGCACTCTGTGCTGCAAAGCTGCTCCGAGAACCTTTTCGGTGTCGTCCTCGTCGTCGACGTCGGCCAGTTTCACCTACGACTGCTGCGGACTAGCGGCCTCGCCCAGGGACAGCCTCAAGGCTTGTAGCGCGGCAGTGCGGCGGCGGGTGCGGTCCGAGGCCGAGATGCAGCAACTGAGGCAGGCGGCCAACGTGCGTGAGCGGCGGCGCATGCAATCCATCAACGACGCCTTCGAGGGGCTGCGCTCTCACATCCCCACTCTGCCCTACGAGAAGCGCCTCTCCAAGGTGGACACACTGCGCCTGGCCATTGGCTACATCAACTTCCTCAGCGAGCTGGTCCAGTCCGACTTACCCCTGCGCAGCGCGGGCCGCGAGAACCCATGCCAGCCCAAGACGGTTATCTTCTGTCACCGGGGCACAAGTAAGTGCAGTGTGAGCCTCCCATCTCGGTCAAGCGCACTCCAAAGGAAAAGAGGGAGGGAAGCTCCTTGGCCACAGTGGCCTTGCTGCGGCTGTGGAAACTTTGCAGATGGCCGTCCTCAAGCGCACGCGCCCCATCCCCCCTAAATTCCCTTCCCTTCCCCGAGGAGTGAGAGAGATCGTCGCAACTTGCAACCTCGCTTTGAAACTCACTGACTTCGCACACGAAATAGGTATCCAATAGTATTCCAATCGCCCTCGGATTTTCTCACTGACGTGTCGGTCGGTAGCGTCTGCTACTGTTGCTGGTACCCACATCGATATGTACGAGCAGACACGGAAACTTTCACCCTCCCTTTTGCTTGCTAGTGAAATATGCTTGCACCGACCAGTGGCGGATTAAGGCTCACTGGTGCCCTAAGCACTGACAAATCTTGGTGCCCCCCTCCTTTGTACATACAAGATTTTTTACACATCTTCATTGCTTTTTTTTCTTAACTTTGTGGTGCCCCCTTGAGGCCTGGTGCCCAAAGCACGTGCTTAGTCTGCTTAATGGTTAATACACCACTGGCACCGACCCAAAGGCAATCCTTACATGGTCTGTTGATTCTTCACATTCAAATCGTTGCAGCACTGTCAGAAGATCGTTCTTGAAATCCAGCAATATACCACAGTATTAATGTCTGCATACAGTACAGTCAAAAGAAATTGGGATTCAAATTAGGATGCTCCCTAGATAGCCTCTGCAGGAGCCCTCATCCATTGGGAAAGACCAAATATTGTGCTACCTTTGCTTATCCAGCCTAGTGTCCTCCAGTTTTTGACTTCTGAAATCCCCAGCCAGTGTGACTTATAGGGATTAAAGTCCAACATATCTGAAGGGCAGCCAGGAAAGAATGTTATTATTTGGCTATGGGGAGAGCCTGCTTTCTCCCAAATATCGTGCTGGGGTAATGCAAGTATTCAATTTGCCAAAATATTGATAGATTATCCAAGAGCTAGATGAAGTGGTGTATGAGCTTAACACTACATTATATAATCAGAAAATGATGCCACAGTTAGCTGTGCACCTGCTACTCCCCTGTTACATGTGTGACAGAAAATGTGATGTCTTGGTTAAGAGTGTTTATTCTGCTCTGAGTATGCTGAGAATACTCAGTCTATTTGTCTCTCTCCCCCCTCCTTTCGTTTCTCTTCCTTCCAGGAATACCTCCTCCAAGTGACCCAGATTATGGACTTCCTTCAATCACTGGGCATTCACTCTCTTGGACTGATGAAAAACAACTAAAGGAACAAAACATTGTTAGAACTGCTAAAGTCTGGACTCCAGAAACCCTGGGAAGTTAAACAGCAAATCATGTGTAAACAAAATTGAAAATGAGTCCCCATTTGATTTCATGTATGTGAGAACATTTTAGACTATAAATATATTTTTGCCAGCATACAATTTTATTTGTGTTCTTGGTGCTCTCTGAGCTTGGTTGTTTGCTCACAGACGTTTCATTATCTGACTAGTAATATCGGTGTGAACCTAGTTGGATAATGAAATATTTGCAACCAACCAACCAAACTCAGCATAAAGAACTCTGCAATATAATCCTGAACTGCATATATTCTCTTTTATTGGAACAGTTTTACTTAAAATACATTTTTTCAAAAGTACTTTTCAATACAAGAAAGTATTCTAAGGACAATCAACTTTTTATTATTTACAGGGGGGGGGATGGAACTATCCTTTTAATGTATAATTTTATCCTAATTTTAAAATATGCAATACTTTTAGATTCATCAACCAGCAACTTTTGGCAAAACCTCTTTGGTAGAAACGAAAATGCTTTCCAGGAAATGTGAACATAATTTATTATCACTTATTGAATAAGCTAATTATATTAAAGTATTACTACATTTTGATTAAACTTGATTTATTTGGAGGAGGATCTGTTCTCAACTAGAACTTTAGATTCAATTGTTCATAAAATATTGGAGACTTCTACAAATACAGGAAAAGATGTCTTGATGAAGGATTTGGCTATGAAGCTATAACTATATTTAACAAATCTGTTTTTTAAACACCACTCCCTCTTATTGGTTCTGTGCTGCAAAATCTTAATCTTGTATTACTGCATGGAGGAACCCAGTGCCTTCCAGATACATAAGGATTATAATTTCCAGAATTTCCAGTTAACTGGCAAATATGGAACTTTTGATCACATATCCATGAAGAGGTTGGTTAGGGAAAGTCTGGACTGCTTTTCAGGATTGTAGCTTTCCTAGGAAATGCTTTACCTGAGAAGCTCCTGTAGTTTCATTTCATGTAAAGGTGCAGGAATTGGAAGTGTTTTAAAAGCCGGCAACTACATTGAAATAAATGCTTTATGTGTTCCAATAAGCTTTTTACTCCAAAAATAATTTATGGGTGGTAGAAAGTTGGGTGACCTCTCAGTGAACCTGGTTGCAATCCAGGTTCACTGGTTCACTACAGGGATATTTCTCTGTGTGAGAAAGTTTGTTTTCTTATGCAGCAATCCATTTTACTATTGTTTTCAGTAATGTTGTATAGCCATCACTTCTATGGGTTTGTAAATTCACTGGATGCTTAGGATGAAAAATATCCCATTGGACCACTTATCAATATCTAGCACTTGTCTGAGCTCATAACCTAATCAGGACCTGTCCTGGTTAATACTTGGAAGAAGACCACCATATCCCAAAGATACATACTGTAGTATGATAATGCAACAAGTTTATTAGAGGAGGTGTGAAAACTCTCACTGAATGACTTCAAGTAGACTTTGGACAGCTACTGTATGTGTTGAGGATTGCCTGTTTATGGATTTCCAGCATATAGCAACTGTACACAAGTACACAAGGCTCTGAAGTAGTCAAGTCTGCAGAATGGTGCCAGTATTTTTTTCAAACTGTGACAAATTTGATGAGAATGTGTCCTTTATATTATCTAGGTATTCCACTTGTTTATTTTGGAGAAGTTGATATTTATAGTCCCTTTTAATCTTTACATTCTATGAATTTGTTTTTAACTGTTATTTTGTGATTGTAGTAGAGATGATTCTGCATATCCACATGAGTTCCTGGGAAGGAGGAGAAACATCACGTCTAAGAATTTCACAGGATATACTTCAAAAAGTTACTATTTCTAAAAGTATATTTAATTGCAAACAGTAGTAGCAACAACAGCACCATCAACACTTTCAGAGGCAATTGAAAAATTGACTGCTGTACCACTGGGGACTTGAATCCCTGGGGCCAGATTCAGTCTTATCCAGTAATAAGTGCACCAGACAGTTCACTGTAAGGTTCACTTTTACCAGTGTATAAATTAGTTATAAAGGCAATCTACCTTAGAACTTTGTTAGTGAGATCTGCGACTAACCTAAAGGCACAGGAAAAACTTACCAACATGCAAAAGATTTTCCAGCTATGTTTCTTCTACCTCAAATTCCACCACAGTGTGTGTATGTAGTGTGGTGTATCATAAAAATAACTCAATAAAAGAGGAACACAGACAAACCACAAGCAATAAATCCTACTTTGAGATCAGAGGTTTCTTTCATGAATTTGGAACATGAAAAGCCATAACATAATAACATTTCAGTAAGATAATACTTACAAACAACAACTCATTGCAATGAGGTCCACCGACATGGCTGAGTCCGGCAAGGAGTAGCCATGGCAGTGGCCCTGAACACATCCTAAGACATTATTTTTATACTTTTCTGCACGCATTTCACAACTTACTTCTCTGTTCTTTCTTACTGACAGTCTCCACATATACCCGTGTACATCTCAAACCTCTATCCATCAGCTATTTTCTGTTCCCTATTTCTCATGGTTTTCAAAACTACATACTTTGCAAAATCACATTCTACAAAACAGCTCAGCAGGATTACAAATAGCTCTGGTACATTTTGAAATCATCCTGTCTAAAACTTTGGTTCATGTCTCTTTTATTCTGGGATCTGCTATCATCCAAAGGCCTTGTTCAATCTGATAGATCAATAGCCTATTTTTTCTTCCCACAGGTGTATGAGGACAGCTCGCCTGAAAAGCAATCCTGGCATGGAAAGATATAGTCCGAGGAGTAACTCTTTGGTGGCACAGGATGCTTTCTTGTTGCCCCCGCCCCCCCTAAAACGGAACATCCGCGTCTGAGACCACAATCCTGCACTGAGAGAAATGCTAGCTTGCGAAAGGTAGCGAGAAGGCGGAACTGAGGCGCGGCACAGCGAGAGTCACTGCGCTCGCTCGAGCAAGTCTCGTATTCCACAGCGAGGGCCACGGAGGCGGTGGGGGACTTCTGGCTGCCTCTGGCTTACTTCAACCGCTTCTCCTCTCACAGCCGACTAAGGCTGCAGCTGTGGATTTTCCCATGTTAGATGCCAGGGATCGGCGGGAGAAGCCCGACTGCTTAGTCCGGGTCTGGTATGCCTCATGTAGCGCTACTCGCGCTGCTCCGACCCCCGGAAAGGGAAGGGCCAATCGGATGGGGACCACGGTCTTTCTCGGAGCCCCATAATCTCTCGCTATGCCGGCACTTTCGGGAGGAAACGGGGACGTCTCGCCTCCTCGGATAGGCTAATTGCATTAACCTAGATAGGCTGGCAAACGAGCCCGTGTCTCCCGTCGGGCACGGTCCTAAGGGCAATAAGCCAGACTTCAGTTCCTTTGCCCTCCATTGGCAACTTCGGGCGGTAGACAGAGGAGGGCCACCCCCACCTCTCCCCCAGGAAAAGGAGCAGGGAAAATCCACGGGCAGTGTAATTAAATTGTCCGGAGCGGCGAAGGGAAAGCGGACGGGAAAAGTGGGTTCAGTAGCCCAGCTATAATTCGCTGGTGCGGTATTAGGATCTCATTAAACACAGGCTCCTTGGCACAAACGCTTCCAGGAGACATGTAATTTCATTACGCTCATTAGAAAGTCAAATGGTCGCCCGATTCGAGCGCCGTGAGTCGAAGCGACTGAAGGGCCCGTCGCTTTTGACCGTGGTGTTTGCTTGTGGGGTGTTTGCAGAGCCCGTGCGTTGCACAATCCAACTACAGCCTTGTTACGGCCGCATCGCTTGCGGGTGTGAGGAGGTGCGCGCGCATGAGTGTGTTTTGTCATTCAGGGAGGGCCTCGTCGTACCCTTTAGTCCAGAGCAGATCAAGCGGAAGAGCCAGGCTGCTCGAGGAAAAACACACTCGTGCTCGCACGCCTTTCTCATATAACTCTTCTGGTTTGACTTGACAGGTCCCTTTAAAATCGATCTTCGAAAAAACTCCCAAGTCCTTTCGCGTTATTTTTCAGTTATTCACTCGAGGTGCAGATTTTTTTTAAAGCCAGAAAAATAATTTTAAAAATGTACTTCCACACATACACATAAGTGCATGGACACACACAATCCACATGCAAAGTGAGATCAATCTGTCTCCAGAGACCCGAGCCAAAGTGCTATTTAAGGCAGGCGCGGGAATTGCAAAATAAAAAACGCGAAACAAAGCCAGCTGGGTGACCTTGGGCCAGTCTTTCTCAGCCCAACTCACCTCACAGGTTTGTTGTGGAGAAAATAGGACAAGGAAGGTGTGGTGGATGTTTGCCGCCTTGAGTTATTTGTAAAAATAATAAAGGCAGGATACAGATAATATAAACAAATAAAACAAAACGAAGCAGCAATAGCTGTGTGTAATGTTGTTTGATAGTGGAAGGAACAAGCTTGTGGGCTTGCATGATTGACAACTATTCAAACCATTGAAACCAGCCTTCTCCCTACTGTTCTCTCCCCGCAAAATATTCAAGAGCAACAATAACGAGATTCATAGATAATCCCCTCCCCAACAGTCTGATCGGAAGTCAACATCATGTTTTGCTGAGAGGGCAGGGAGGGAAGGGGAGGAGGGGCGAAAAGTGAAGCACCTATAAAATAACTCATTAGTTGAAGATTTTAAACGTTAACGTTGGGACAATACTCAGGATCTGCGGTGCTGCAAAAGTTTTCTCCAGTTGGAATTGGCTTGAAAAGAGCAACAAGCAATTTTGAGAAACATTTAAAACATTGAAAAATACTTCAGTTAATTCATTAGACACTATCAGATGAAAGCGATTTGCAATATGCTCAATTTCCCAATGGGCTAAAACGTCGCTCCAGAGTCTCACGCTTACAAGAGAGAGGTCGCGACTGCCTTTGTAGCAGCAGCAAATAATTTAAGTGTTGCTAAGATTCTAATTTCTAAACCTTTTCTACTTCTTTAATCAGACTACCCTTGCCTTTGAAAGCAACAGCATTTGTGATGCTCCTTTCATCTGAGAAGGAACCGCTGGATTGGACAAAAACAGGTCCAGAAATCCCATTGAAACCTCGTGGCATAAAACTCTTTCCCCTGAAAAGCAAGGGCGGGCGAAACAGAAGCTGGCCCTCACGGAGACTGAGAACTTGCCCTTTTGGGATTCCCAGGCTTTCTAAGCTGCCAATATTGAGATTAAAGCCTGTGTAATATATTGGGTGTGAAACCTCAACTAGGCATGAACTCGTCCCATTTTCACTAAGGTCTTTAGCGGTGGCATCGAGGACCAGCTGCCAGGATGAACAAACACCAGTTGAGGGTCCCTGCTAAATCTCCTCTCACCCTCTCTGTCTGTCTGTCTGTCTGTCTCTCTTTTGTCTCACTCTCTCCCCTCCCTTGAAGCCCGTGAGAATGGACCCACACTCATTCCACAACAAATAGCATTTTCTATATCTGGAAGCATTAGGAGGCAATGATTCCCACGACAGGATGTGAGGTCTGACTAACAGGTGCTTGGATTTGGCCAAGGGAGACAGCAGGGCTCCGAGATGGGAAAAGGCTTTGCTGCAAGCAGAATAAGGCTACCCCTTTTGCTTTTTACATGGCGTGGAAGTCGCAGACAATCAAAATGATATCTTTATTGCTAGGTTCATGTCCTGGGCTATAACATATCAATCCCTGTCGAGTTTCTCTTGGAAGCACCTGGTATTTCAAACTTGTTCTTTTTGTGTTTCTGGGTGCTGGACTGCAGCTGCTTAAAACAAGCAGAGATTGAGAGAGTCCCTTACACTGTGTCTAAGACATGTTGGCATGGTTTGCTTGTCTTTAATGTACCATTAAGCATTGTCTTGACACAATATGGGAACTGTAAAGCATAGCATGCGTTATAATAAAACACATTTTCAATTATACACTTGCAGTAGGAGTTGAGATGCAAGCAAACAGACCCAACTCTTGTGTTTTTGTTTGTTTGTTTTGGGCTTTGTTTTTGTCTCTGCCTTCAACTGGCAATTAAACTTAAGACCATTATTTTCCCCCTCTCCTATCAGCCAATTAAATTTTGTGTCTTCTAATTTTTCACACACAAAAAAGTCTCCATGCTGGTTTCTAAAGACATTGATTTTCTTGCTATCACCTGGCGTTCAGACTTTAGTTCCATTTATCAAGAGGAACATCAAGGTTGCATAAACTGACTCTGTTACCATAAGGCTCTCACCATCCTGGCCCATTGTTTTCCCTTTTAAATAACTCATTAGCAGGATTTAACAAATCCACCATTACATATGTTTTGTGTCTCCATATTTTGATCCGGAAGATTAAGCAGATGTTATGATTGAAAATTGAAAAGTCCAAGGCTACTCTCGGCTGAAAGAACGAGGGCAGCCTCAAAGAACAAGCCAACAATGAGATTCAGATCTTCAGAAAAACATTTACGACCAATAAACAGACTCCAACTTGCTCCATTTCAACCATTGTGTGTCTGGGGAGAATAATTAAGTTTAATAGGGAATAGGTCTACGGGGTTTTCAATGCCAAGATCACAGGTGCGGGGTGGCATGCTGAATGAGTCGCCTGATTTTGCCAAGCTCAAGGGCCCTTCTCTGGGACTTGCGAGCAGGGAGAAAACACTTTCATTTTTAATTCACAGCATTACTTTTAAGGTAAACAAAGGAGCGGGGGGAGGGGGTTGGGTTGGTTTAGATGAGCGGCTGGGAGGGTCCCGGCTGAAGACGCACACGCGTCCTCATTTTCCGCTAAAGGCTCGGGGCTCGGGGGAGTGGGCAAGAAGCCGGCTCGCGAGGCCCCGGGAAGAGGAGGACCCTCTGCCGGAACTTTTAAGTTATCTTTTCTTGCTCTTAAAAGTCTTGGTCTGCTGGAAAGAGGCTGCCAAGAAACGGTCTCCGCCTGCCTGCCTGGCATCCTTGCGCATGGAAGTCTCCAAGAGGGGGCCCCGTTATCGCGGGCCGACCTGAACGAAGAGGTGGTTCAGTGGCTGAGGACAGCCCGATGGAGCGGCAAAGGGGAGAACGTCATCACCGTGTCGGAACCCATTCTTAGGCGGCATTCTTAGGCAGAAGGAGAAGAACTGGATCTTCTTGATAGAAACCATCTTGTCGGCAGCACCTGTCAAGCTTGTTCCACTACCGCTAGGGTTAGAGGTACCCAGGAACACGGTGGCCTTTTTGAAAAAAACAAAAAACCTCAGCCTACATTCCGAACTCCAGGAAATCTCTCCGAGCCTCCGGGTTCATTAGGTGTTCTGGCCACCCTTCCGATTCCTCTTCCCTTCCCGCGCATCTGCTTTGAGGCAATATGGTGAGCTGAGCGCTTGTCACGATGTCAGAGATCTGTTTTCCATATCAGAGTCTTCCTAAAGCAGGCCGAGCTTGCCATCCCGAGCCGAAGTAACAAACCAACCCACCTCTTCCGGGGAACGTCCTTCGAGAGATCTCCCCCTTTGTCTTAAGGCAAACAGGTGACTCTTACCATGTCCGGTGCCCCGGTAACTGCGGGCTTTGGCTATTTCTTTAGACTTCTGCCCAACCCATTAGCATGAGGAGAGCGAACGGGAGCAGAGAAGCTCCTGGTTAGGTCGGGAAGGAGGGCAAGAGGAGCCGAAACAGTGCCCTCTCCTGCACGCCCGAACCGCACGCCCCGCCACTGCACAAACCCAGCCGAGTCTTCCGGGCTGGTTGAGGTTGGCACACGCTGTAGCAATCAGTCGGGGTATTGGCATATTTCCCAATCAGTCTTTTTTTTTCTGGCAGGTTTGGGCCATTCTCGGTTTCTGAAGTTTGCTGCGAGTTTTCAGGGGAATGGAGAAGAGGGGGGAAGAGGAGAAATTGTGCCCTTTGTGGCGCTTAGCGAGGAGGGCCACAGAAAAAGCGCTCAGCCACCAGCGAAGGAATGGAGGACCAGCTTTCTCTGGGGAGCGAGCGTGGCTCCTTATTTTACTTATTTTATTTATTAAATTTGTTTGCCACCCATCTCGCTGCAAGGCGACATGAACGCTGGCTAAATGACACTTCAGTTGGCAACAGCCCGTTTCCACGTTGGTGCAAACAATTTGGGATTTTGTCAAAGTTTGTGTTGTGGAAAGCAGCTCCTTTAGCTAGGAGCTCAATGGGCACCCACCAGAAACGTAGAAATAGCCCCCCTTCACAGCCCTTTCAAGAAAAACGTAAATAGTCAAAGTGGACGAGGCTGGAAGAGAAGGAGGGGAGCCTTGAATATGGGTAAATTTTGAAGGTGTAGAATGAAGTTAATAACCATGCACAACATCCCAGTGACGATGTATTTCCAAGTGGTGTCAGATCATACACAACGACAGTTAACCTTTCGGCGGGGAGCCAGAGTTGGCCATTTGACTGAATTAGTCACAAAGGCGTCTTGCTATGACTTTTGTTCCTCGCCAAAGCCAAGAAATATTGCGTTAAATATGAGAAGGGTTATCCGCAGCTTTCATGTGCTCCTTCAGAAAAGATGGCCAGACTGATTTGAGGGGACTTATTTCTCTTGGTCACATACCCCAGACCAGGGCAGATGGAGGTGCGGTTTTAACAGAGTGCCTCCTTCCAAAGTGGAGCACTAATTCCAGGTATAACAGCAGCGAATTTATCAACCTTTTCAGGATGTGACACCACTTGGAAATATATCGTCACTGGGATGATTTGATAGATTAGCTGAAGGAGCCTAGCCATTCCAAGGTGAAGTTGAAGATTGACATTTGGTGTTTAACTGAATTTTTTTAAAAGGGCCAAACGATGGCTGCCTGTTAACTTGGTCTTTGTTCTGGAGAGGAATCCCCTTAAATGCTTTTCTTATATCTCTCTGGGGCGAGGACAAGAGCGATTTTTCTGTTCTGATTTCCCCCCCTCCCTTTATGCTTTTCCATAAGAGCACCAAATCTAAAGAGTCAAGAAAGGTTCTTGGAGACTAGAGTGCACTTTTGTCCTTCTCAAAGGTGCCCACTTTTTTTCTTTCATTTCTCAATGCACAACCAGTGGTTTTTCCTTCTGCATGTTTTTTTTTACCCCACAAATTGGAATCCCAAAGGTTTATTTGTGGCACAACAGCAGGGGATAGAAACTGTTGTCAAAGACTTCCTCTTTTTAGTAACCTTGAACCTGTTGTGAACTTCCCTTTGCCTTGCTAAATATTTTCTTTTGCCTCTTTACAAATGTCTGCTCTAGTCTGGGTTCCACCCCTCATTTCGTTTCCTCTCCTTTTCTCTCTGAGATGGTTGATATTTGTTATTCAGCCCAACTTTTATTTATCTTGCAAAAAATGTTGGAGGGCTCAGATGTGATAAATAGCAGATATGCAAATCACACTGAATGGTCTTGTAAGCGTGTCTCTCTAGAGATGAGGCCTTGCAAGCTGGTCTGTATGTGCTCAGGACCCCAGGGAGTTGATCAAAGGACACGTTCTCTTTCATCCCCTGTATTCTCTTCTAAACTATTCCGATACAATGTGTTTCCATAATGCCCTTAAAGGGCTTGTGACACAGAACTTGTTACAACCTAGCTACTTTTGCCAACCTCTTTGTCCAGAGGCAGAAAGTTAAGAGGAAAAAAAAAAGGGGGGGGGGGGGGGGGGGGAGACTCCGCTGGTTGTTGCCAGTGAAATCCTAAAGCATGCATCATTTTTCACTAGATCTCTTCTTCATATCTTCAAAAGAGAAACTATGAAACCAGCTTGCCTTTTCTAGGATTAATTACACTGTTATCCAGGCATTTCTCTGCAGGGGTTTGTTTTTTTTGCAAGGTAATATTTTTCTTATCTATGGATGCATTTTATCAATATGGGGAAAGTGAGAATGAATGTTTCCTATTTCTGTGTTCACTTTCCTATTTAAACATCAGGGATGTAGAAATCTGTAATCCTGTATAACAGTAGAGTTTAAAAAATGAACACAAAATACACATTACACCAAATTTAATTCCAAAATTAGTTTAAAGTAGATTAGCCAATCTTAATTTTAGAAGCAGAACTTCGATGAAAGTGAAAAACTTGGTTAAAATTTTCAGCAATTCCAAGCCAACTCCCCCCCAAATTTGTTGCAGTGCTCAAGCCTCCCCCAGTAGAGTACGATAGGAATGTCGGGAAATGCAGTTTTGTTCTTGATATATAGTGGTAAAGCAAAAGACAATTTGCAAATATAGGGCCAACATGACAAAACTCAAATACTCCAGATAGTTTCAGTTCAAATGGCACCTATTCAAACACAATCTTTTCAATGGGTGAATTCAACATACTGTAAAAAGCTGCAAAGATATTAGCTACTAGCAGCTGGCAACAAAGATATAGAAAATTCTAGTTCTGTGTAGCCATCTAGTGGCTGCCTGGATTTCTGCAGCCTAGATGTGATAACTAAGTCTAAGCAAAGGTGACTGATGATTTTACACAGGACTGAGTAGGTCTTCCAAGAGTATAAACTGGTCCTAAATGTGATTAAAGAAAGTCTGAAAAGCAGAAATACCTAGACTGGAGTCCTTGCAGCTTGATGTCATAGGTTCTTACAATTGCCAATTCATATTACATTTAAGAAATCAGGAAGTAGAGAAAAAGAGGCTGCAGAAGGGTATAAAAGGTTTGAATACCCTTCCCTGGCTCATTCTCTCACTTAGGTTGCCAGTCTCTTGGTTAAAGACTTTGCAAACTTGGATTTAATGCTGAGTAAAATCAGAATCTAGGTATCCTTTGATGGCCCTGCAATGGAACAACCACATGTTTGGGCAGCTTTGTGATATCTCTCAAATAAAACCCATCAGCTCTATTTCTCTGATAGGAACTGTAACGAGCTAGTGCATTTGTTTTGGGGTTGATTTGTTAATGGAAAATGGCTGGCAGACAGTTGTGAGAACTAATCCGAACCTGACTCCTATTAACCCTCTCTGGTGAAACTCTGCTGGAAACCAACTCACCTGCCATTTCCATTAATCTTACTAATTAAGCCAATTCATTTCTAAAGGAGAAAAATTCCTTTCTTTGGCCCAAGTAATAGGAGTAAATTTGAAAGAAGTGCCAAACTGTAACTGTAATTCGGGCAGGGGATTTCTAAAACAAGCTTGTTGATACATAGGTTGAAACCAAGTTTCTAGGGCAACAATCCTTTAAAAATGCCTCTGGCACACAGAGTAAAAGGAGCTGAGCTGAACCATGAAGAATGGTAGGGGTTTGCAGGGGGGCATTGTGTGAAAAGGGCATGGGGGAAACATTGTCACCCCCCAATCCAGTTTCTGCTCATTTCACTCCTGCATCCTGTCTGGTTGCCCTCAGCTTCATTCTAATTGGATTACTCACAAAGGGTTTGGAACTTCAAATCAAACAAGACAAACATTTTATGACCTTGGTGCAACTGGGCTATGCATGTAAAATCAATGGCCAATCAATGCCCCAAAGAAATGGTACCTCTGTTTTACATGTTCAAGGAATGGTACCTCTGTTTTGCTCAG